CCAACAAAATCTTATTCTTAGTTCATGTCTGGTGCAGAGTGACAAGACCACTTGGGATGACCAGTTTTTAGGGCAAAATTATGAACAATGTAATAAAACTGTGAGATGACCCTTCCTCATTAGCTACTTCGTTTCTTACCCTCTCTGCCTTTGAGCCTGTTTGAAAACAAATGTTTTTCCTTTGTTCTGTCTTATTACCTTGCATCCTACACACAATTATGCCTTAAAGAATAAAAATCTATGACATGTTTCTGAGGGAGCATCTCCCTTCAACACTTAACCTTCTAACTTAGGAAGGCTCTTATTACTGAGACCAGCTTCCATATCACTAGTTTTAAAAACCATTTTTAGAAGGGTGCCACCGTAATATACAGCATGGAGCCATGTGCATAAGCTTGTAAATCATTTTTGTAAATAGCTATTTACTGAGGGTGAGCAGCAATTTGTGATGGGTGGGAGGCAAAGAATGAGATCTCATCATTTAACGGTGAGGTACACATACTTCTCAATTATCTGTGCTAATGGGGACAGTGATAACAAGGGTAATGGAGACCATGAGAAGTCCATGGTGGAATGTAAATCAGTCTTTTTGCTTCTTGTTAGTAAGTAGTAAAGGGAAACATTTTGCTAGATTGAAATGCCAGATTGTTTGTAGATTTCAATTACGAAGCTATTCCAGTGCCCATTTTTTTCCTCAATGACTAAAAGTTGGATACTTAAAAATATACAGATAAGGACCTTGTTGCATGTTGAAAATAAAAGCACTTTAATCAAACTGTCTATGAATATGTAATACCCAAACACTGGCCTGATTTTTCCCTCCATCGAATTGAATAAATGTTGGCATTTTGTGAACAAAGTAAATCACTTACTAAAATTACCAGGTCGTTTACTAGATAAAATTCTGTGGTGTCATCCACAAGTGAAATGAATTGTTTAATACTTCTCTCAAACTGTTGTGAGGAACCAGAGCCAAGTTGGTAGCTGCCGGTGGTAGGATATTCACCTGTAGATGGTGCTTTTCCTGTGTTTGTCAAGAATTTCCAATAAAGGACTCAAAATCTTCCAGATAAAACCTCTCCATGCTGCTAATTTTTGCTTTTTATATACAAAAGTAGGACTTTATTTGTTAGCACAGGTATTTTTCCATATCACCTAGGAAAATGTTTTAAAATCAACAATTTAAAATCAGAACAATAAAATAAAAACAAAGAGCAAGTGAGTCCCCTACCCAGTAACACTTCTGCCTTGTGCTCCACTCATACTTATTTAACTAAACACAACTATTTTTGAGTTGCGAGTCCAAGAGCCTTTTACTTCTGAGTCCAGAGGTTTAAAGTTTCACTCATGCAACTTGCCAGAAGGTAGCCTCCAACAACTTTACATTTTAGAAGCCTTGATGCGTCTCTTGAAAAATCCCATGCGTTACAAGGCTCTTGTGTTAACTCCAGCCTCTTCCCTCCAGCTTCCACATTTTTGGGTATCTTTTCAGCAACACCCCACTCTACTGGTACCAATTTACTATATTCACCTGTTTTCACACTGCTGATAGAGACATACCCGAGACTGAGAAGAAAAAGAAAAAGAGGTTTAATTGGACTTACAGCAGCGGGTCTGTAACTAGGAGCTTACCCCACACCTAAGCTAACACCTTTTTGGAGCACTGTCTTTTGCTAGTTCCAGCAAGATGTCTCATTTGTTATGTCTTTTTTGCCAGTCACATCACTAAATTTTTCTCTCTTCCGAGCCAGAACAGAAAGATCGGGGGGCGGGGTGGAGGGGGTGTGGTGGTAGAAGGCAGACGCCTATCCCTCTGAGCAGACCAACACTCTCAAGTGTTTTGAATGTTTTTCAGTAAAATTTCTCTAGTGGCAGAGATACCATATTAGCTTCATTTTCTTCTTTGCTATTTTTCTTTCAGGTTTCTCTCACTTTTATATTCCCACGAATGACTTAATTAACACAACCAGTTTTCTCTCCTGACACTAGAATTCCCAGGAGTGTTTAATATTCACCCAGAATTGTAACTCTTGGGTTAATAAAAGCTTTTCTTAACAGTTCATTCTACAAATGTTTCCTGAGTACCTACCAGCGCTAGGCACACTTACACAGACTCAACCACACGTAGATTCATGGTGCAATAAACATGTGAGCCACTAACCATATATGGCGACTGAGCCCCTGAAATATGTCTAGTGTGAATTGAGATGTGTCATAAATGTAAGTACACAGTGGAGTTCAAAGAATTTAGAACAAAAAAACCTCACTAATAATTTTTTTATATCGATTACATGGTGAAATATTATTGATATGTGGGGTTACATAAAATATATTAAGATTAATTTCACCTATTATAATTTTTTTAATGTGGCTGTTAGAAAATGTAAAATTATGTATGCAACTTGGATTTGTGACTTGCATTATATTTCTACTGCTTAGCGTGGACATAGACAGCAGCCATGGCACAGTGAGAGCAATGGGTAGGATGCTTTGAAGGGAGCTGTTGAGTAACCTATTCTGGTCTGGACAAAACAGGAAAGATTATCTGGGGAAGACTCACCTTGCAGGCATCTCAGAAGACAAGGAAAAGTTACTCAGGTGGAGGAATAGAGCTGGTATGTTCCACGTGGCAGAAACAATCAACAGAAAGACAAGGTTTAAGGTGGTTAGAGCTCAGGGTATTGGCTGGGGATTGGAAGACGGTAATTTTACATTATTGAAACATAGATACTGCTATGGTTTGGCTCTGGGTCCCCACCCAAATATCATCTTGAATTGTACTCCCACAATTCCCATATGTTGTGGGAGGGACCCTGTGGGAGATCATTTGAATCATGGGGGTGGTTTCCCCCATACTGTTCTCATGGTGTGAATAAGTCTCATGAGATCTGATGGTTTTATCAGGGGTTTCCACTTTTACATCCTCATTTCTCCTGCCACCACCATGTAAGAAATGCCTTTCTTCCTCTGCCATGATTCTGAGGCCTCCCCAGCCATGTGGAACTATAAGTCCAATTAAACCTCTTTTTCTTCCCAGTCTCGGGTATGTCTCTATCAGCAGTGTGAAAACAGATGAATATAGTAAATTGGTACCAGTAGAGTGGGGTGTTGCTGAAAAGATACCCAAAAATGTGGAAGCAACTTTGGAACTGGGTAACAGGCAGAGATTGGAACAGTTTGAAGGTCTCATAAGAAGACAGGAAAATGTTGGAGAGTTTAGAACTTCCTAGAGACGTGTTGAATGCCTTTGCCCAAAATGCTGATAGCGATATGGACAATAAAATCCAGGCTGAGGTGATCTCAGATAGAGACGAGGAACTTGTTGGGAACTGGAGTAAAGGTGACTCTTATGTTTTAGCAAATAGACTGGTGGCATTTTGCCCCTTCCCTAGAGATTTGTGGAACTTTGAACTTAAGATGGGTTAGGGTATCTGGTGGATGAAATTTCTAAGCAGCAAAGCATTCAAGAGGTGACTTAGGTACTATTAAAGGCATTCAGTTTTATAAGGGAAGCAGAAGATAAAAGTTTGGAAAATTTGCAGCCTGACTATGAAATAGAAAAGAGAAACCCATTTTCTGGGAAGAAATTTAAGCTGGCTGCAGAAATTTGCTTGAGTAGCAAGGAGCCTAATGTTACTCTTCAAGACCCTGGGGAAAATGTCTCCAGGCCATGTCAGAGACCTTCACAGCAGCCCTTCCCATTATAGGCCCCAGGGCCTTGGAGGAAAAAATGGTTTCTTGGGCGTGGCCCAGGGTCCCTGTGCTGTGTGCAGCCAAGGGACTTGGTGCCCTGTGTCCCAGCTGCTCCAGCTGTGGCTGAAAGGGGCCAAAGTACAGCTTGGGCTGTGGCTTTAGAGGGTGGAAACCCCAAGCCTTGGCAGTTTCCATGTGGTGTTGAGCCTGCGGGTACATGGAAGTCAAGAATTGAGGTTTGGGAACCTCTGTCTAGATTTCAGAAGATGTATGGAAACACCTGGATGCCCAGGCAAAAGTTTGCTGCAGGGTCGGGGCCCTCATGGAGAACCTCTGCTAGGGCAGTATAGAAGGGAAATGTGGGGTTGGAGCCCCCACAGAGAGTCCCTACTAGAGCATTGCCTAGTGGAGCTGTGAGAAGAGGGCCACTGTCTTCCACACCCCAGAATGGTGCATCTACCAACAGCTTGCACCATGTATTTGGAAAAGCTGCAGACACTCGATGCCAGCTGTGAAAGAAGCCAGGAGGGAGGCTGTACCCTGCAAAGCCACAGGGGCAGAGCTGCCCAAGACCATGGGAACCCATCTCTTGCATCAGCATGACCTGGATGTGAGACCTGGAGTCAAAGGAAATCATTTTGGAGCTTTAAAATTTGACTGCCTTGCTGGATTTCGGACTTTCATGGGCTCTGTAACCCCTTTGTTTGGGCCAATTTCTTCCATTTGGAACAGCTGTATTTACCCAATACATGTACCCCCATTGTATCTAGTAAGTAACCAGCTTGCTTTTGATTTTTAAAGGCTCGTAGGCTGAAGGGACTTGCCTTCTCTCTCTGAGACTCTGGACTGTGGACTTTTGGGGTAATGGGGAAATGAGTTACGACTTTGGGGGATTGTCCGTAAGGCATGATTGGTTTTGAAATGTGAGGACATGAAATTTGGAGGGGCCAGGAGTGCAATGCTATGGTTTGTCTCTGTGTTCCCACCCAAATCTCATATGGAATTATACTCCCATAATTTCCTTGTGTTGTGGGAGGGACCCTGTGGGAGATAATTTGAATCATGGGGGTGGTTTCCTCCATACTGTTCTCATGGTATCTGTCTCACGTGATCTGATGGTTTTATCAGGGCTTTCCACTTCTGCATCCTTATTTTCTCTTGCTGCTGCCATGTAAGAAATGCCTTTCACCCTCTGCCATGATTCTGAGGCCTCCCCAGCCATGTGGAACTGTAAGTCCAATTAAACCTCTTTTTCTTCCCAGTCTCGGGTATGTCTTTATCAGCAGCATGAAAACAGATAATACAGATACTTTTAGAAGAATTTATTAATCCAAAATATGTTTATGTTCAGATTAGAATTTCTTCTGTGGTGTAGAAAGAACTAATGATACTGAAGAAGAACCTCACTCTATTCAATCTTGAGAATTTCCAAAAGTATGAGAGAAGCTGAGACTTTGAGGGGTTTGAAGGAGACAGTGGCATGCTTCTTCCAAGGGCAGCTGCCCACAGTGGTCCAGCATCTCAGGAAGGCAATGGGATGGAGTTCTGTAAGAGGACAGTGAGACAGATGGTTAGGATGGTAAAGGTATAAGGACTTAATGAGGGCTGGAGTAGGGCTTAGCATTCCATAGAACATGGGCAACTCTCACAGGGGCAATGACCAGGACCATGCACTAGTAATGGCTGTGGGTACACATGTGATGCTCTATGTCCCTGTGGGACTCACTACCTTGCTGGCCACCAGCTTTGTAAACAGACCTGACTAGTCAGGCTCCAGCAGGGACCAGTGAAGTTCTAGTTACCACTCTCCCTATCCACTAATATGCTTTGGTGCCATCTTGAACGGAAATAGGAGAAGAAGAAGAGAAGGGGTGGAAGACTAAAAGCCTAAGATTTACCCTAAAGGGATTGCTTTGTGGTACCATAAACTGGGGCATTAAAAGTTTATTCTCAGACTCTGCTATCCAGCAACTTGTAAGGATACTCAAATGCATTATGAGAAAGAAAGAAGCTATAGTTTCTTTGGATGTGAAGATGGTTAAAGGCTTCTCCCAAGGAAATAAAGCTGCTTCTTTCTAAGCAGAAGTTGGGGAGAATAGCTTCTCCAAAATTATTTTACTTTTATTAGAGAATAATGAAAATATACCATATAAATGTATATATGTATATTGTTATATACTTAAAAGTATATGTACTGTTTGAAGAGACAAGTTAACTAAAACACATAGAAGAGAAAATATTAGTGGGACTGAAATTATGAAGGGAACAGTAAATTTATAGAGCATAAATAGCATATACAATTGTGTTATTAAATTGCTGTTCACTGCCTTAAAGTTTGTTACTTTGGACAAAATTTCTTCTAAAATGTAACGTTACCCAATGTGGGGTGGGGTGGGACAAGGGGACAGAAAGGAGAAAGGTTATTTTTCTGTCTCTTAGACTTATGTATGGTTTTTTTGTTTCTGAGGCTTCAAAATTTGAGGTAACAAAGAAAATTGCTGCCAATAAACAGTGTTATCAAGATGTCAAGGGGAGGAGAGTGGGTACAGTATGGACACCTTTCCATGTCACAGAGGTTTTAATGGTTCCTCCTGGGTTTTAGGGAACGGGCACGTGGTGGTGGATATGCTGTTGTTGTTTGGAGTTCCTTCAGATGAGGGGTGCCCTCCCATTGGCCAGTTTCTCCTTTGATTCAGAAGTCAATTTTAGTACCTTCCATTTCATTTCTTTTTTTCTTTTTCTTTTTCTTTTCTTTTTTTTTTTTTTTATGAAGGAGTCTTACTCTGTCACCTGGGCTGCAGTGCAATGGTACAATCTCGGCTCACTGCAACCTCTGCCTCCCAGGTTCAAGTGATTCTTCTGCCTCAGCCACCTGAGTAGCTGGGACTACAGGCATGCACCACCACACTGGGCTAATTTTTGTACTTTCAGTAGAGACAGGATTTCGCCATGTTGGCCAGGTTAGTCTTGAACTCCTGACCTCTGGTGATCCACCCACCTCAGCCTCCCTAAGTGTTGGGATTACTGGCATGAGTCACCATGCCTGGCCCCATTTATTATTTTACTTCACTTAATCCAAATGGGTATTTGGTTAGTTGCAACCAAAAAACTCCTGACTAATGCCTGGGATACTTAATAACAAAACCAAATATAGTTTCAAGTATTTTGGAAGCATAGATTTACATATATGCAATGCAACTGACACATATGTGGTGGTCAATAATGCTTAGGATGGTGGTATTATAAAGACAGTGCTATCATGAATTAGTCCCAAACTTCAAGTTATTAAATAAATGTAAGCACAATGAAAACATTTTAGTTTTATTATTCAAACATTACATTCCAAGACTGCCAATGAACTTGGGTGATAAGAATCTGAGATTTTATTTAGCTTTGTCCTCTGCTAATATCTTCATTCTGAACAGCAGCATCTTAATCTCAGTGATTTCAGCTGCTGCTTTGTTCCTTCTTTTGTGTCCCTATGTGTGAAAGGCAGGGATGGAGATTGCGGGATCACGTATGAATGTCTTTGATTAAATAAGGGTTTTGAAGTGAAATCTCAGATGTGGTTCAATTTAGATGATCACCTAACACATGTCCTTAGGAAACATGTCACTAATTTGAAGTATAAGAATTCTAGCTGGGTACGGTGGCTCACGCCTGTAATCCCAGCACTTTGGGAGGCCGAGGGGGGTGGATCATGAGGTCAGGAGATCGAGACCATCCTGGCTAACAAGATGAAACCCCGTCTCTACTAAAAATGCAAAAAATTAGCCGGATGTGGTGGCGGGCGCCTGTAGTCCCAGCTACTCGGGAGGCTGGGGCAGGAGAATGGCATAAACCCAGGAGGCGGAGCTTGCTGTGAGCCGAGATCGTGCCACAGCACTCCAGCCTGGGCAGAGCAAGACTCCGTCTCAAAAAAAAAAAACAAAAAACAAAAAACAAAAAAAATTCTAAGCTAGGGCAGTGCAAACACTGTAAATATTTTAAAGCAATTAAAAAAATATGCCAATATTGTTTCCTTCTCAAGGATCTACAGCCACTTTCTCTCTTATTTGTGCTATCCTTCATTTAGTCATTAAAAATATTATACTACAGATATTTGTATGTCTACCAAGGGACAGGTTGGGATAGGCGATGGATGCAGCTGACCAGGCAGTCTGTTGTGGGGACCATCAACTTCTCTCTATCCTTCCTTCATATGTATACTCTCTTCTATGCTCCTCCAACGTGTGTTGCTCGTTGTTCTGGAACAATCCATGCCTTCCAATTAGGACTATTAACTTCCAGTTAGTACTGTTAACACATTGGTTCTCAATTTTCAACGAGCATAATTTTATACATTTTAATTCTAGATAACTGGACAATTCATATCCACATAAAATTAGTGGTACGTAATGGTTCTTTTTAGAAAGATCACCTTGTTCTCTATTACCGAATAGCTATTATAATACACTATTTGGAATCCCAAATTACTTACATTGCTCCCAACAAAATCTTAGATTTTATCATCCTGCTTTTGAAAGTGTCCATGTGACACTAATTCAAATGTGTGAAATTAGTAGTTGAAAATTTATAGTGATAACAGGCTCTAATGATCAAAAGGTCCAAATATCTTCAGGGATTTAAATGAGTAAACCACACACACAGCAAATTATTATTTCAGCAATGCATTCTGAAGAATTGCACATTCTGATCAGAGTTGGTCTTGGTAACTGTATGTTTCCAAGTTAATAAAACATCTTAATGTTCACAACTAGTGTTTCACTGAAGTTTTCTGCCAAAATATCCAGAAATAACAGAAAATTCATTTTTATAATGGATGAATTTAGGAATATTGGCTCTTTCCCCTTCTCATCTTTACTTTTTTGCAAGATAAAGGATTGTCTTAAAACTTCTGGTTACACTTATGGCAAGGTATTAACACATACATTTAAATTAACAGCTATCATTAGAGGTTTGCCAGATAATCAAAGGTAGATAAGATTTTCAAGAAACTGAATGAGCAGAATGTTATGATCCTCAATTATCTTTAAAAGCTTTGACGAAAACCTCAATTGACTAAAAGGGAAAATGTTCTAACTGCATGTCAATTACACTATCACTATAGTACATATTGTAAAGGTGGTATGTGATATGTAAGTGGTGAAGAAATTAGGTGTGTTGCTGAGTTGCAATTAATATGAAAAGTTTTACATTTCTATTAAGTTATGGAACTAATAATCTACCTTCTACCCCAATTAGAAGATTTCAAAGCATAAATATGATTCTAAAACTATTGCCTAAACAAGAAATAGCCAATTCATTGAAAATCCACGTCAATCTGAATCTGATTATTTACTATATGTATATGATACCAAATGGTGGATTGATTTCTACAATTTCTGCACTTCCACACATCATGGGAATAGATATATTTATCCATTTGGATTTTTAAACTAATGAGAACATATTTAATTCAGTAAGCACAGAAAAATGTTTTTGCAATTAAAAAGCTCAAAGGGCAACAAGGCTATTCACTTCAGAATACCGCCCCCATGTATTTTCTAAAATCCTGGGGACAGGTCATGGGAAACATTTTAATAAAAACCAAAAACGATGTTATCATTATGTTTAATGCCATTAATGTGCAGTCACTCATTCAATAAACATAAATACAGTGCCTGGTATGGGTGCCTTGTATTAAATAGTTGTGATTGATATAAAAATGAGTAAGATATGGTACCTGCTCTCTCAGGGTTTAAAACATAATAGATACAATAAATAAACAAATAATAGTACACTACAATGTTTTTGTTTACTACTATATCCCTAGAACCCAACCCACTGTTTGAGATTCAGTAAATACTTGTGCAATAGAATTGGTGCTATGAAAGAGAGCTGCCTAAAATTTTGTGACCAAACTGCATGGAAAGATTTGGGTAAGAGTGTAAAGAGCTGATCTTGAAGGATGTATGGAGGTTTGCCAAAAATTTAAGGAAAAAGGGGTGCTTCCAAAACACAGAACAGAATTGCAATGATACAAAATGATTTAAAAATTTGTGTTCTTGCAGAAAAATGGAGATGGATTTATGAAGCTGCAATTAGACCACATGGGTGGAAACAATCATAGATGTTGCTGGTAAAATACGGTAAATCCATGTCCCATTTGGAGAAGCTTATTCACTATTCTTTGGAATGTGGAAAGCCTTAGTAGACTCTAAAAATGAGAGTCATAACAGATTTGTGAACTTTGGAAGCTCTGTGGGTGTGGGCTGGAGGTAGAAGATTGGGGTCAGGAAGAGGATAGGGAATTTTTTGGGAGATTAGGATTGTACTAAAGCAGTGACATGGAAAATTGTGGTGGGGGGAAGCAGGGACATAAATTAGTGGGGAGGATAGACAGTTTTGAGTGATGTGATTTGGTGACTGATTAAATACAGGGTGTAGGGGAGGAGACTGGAATATACCCCTGTGGTTTTTCTTGGGTAAATATTCATCTCTGATACTCTTTGAAAGAATTTCTTATGTAGCAGAGGCCCCTTCATGCATCCTTGAGCACAGCT